GAAACAAAACTTCCAGAACACAGCCACGCAGCCCGGAAGACCCACACCAGCCTTCCTGTCTATGCTTTTTCATCAAGGAAACCAGTGATATTACATTTCTTTCAAAGTTACAGGTTTCAGCACCTTCTCTTTTAAAACCAATGAAAGAAAACAACTTTGGATAGGGCAATTTCTAGCTGTCACTTGGTTTGATGTTAGAAAATATACTACCCCCCCCTCACTTTAAGGAATGTTTTTTACAGGGTACTCTTGAAGATGGCCGCATTATTGATACCTCACTCTCCCGGGATCCATTGCAAGTGGAGTTGGGCAAAAGACAAGTCATCCCAGGTAGACCTCTGTTCTTTGCCACAATACTTAGTTTGGCTGAGGGACACACCAAGGAAAAGTGGGGAAAAGATCTCTATGTCCACAAATAGTCTTTGGCCAAAGCAGCATACTAGCTACTATTTCTTCACTCAATACGTATTTTCTCACTATTTATTTCTATTTTATGGTTACCACAAAAGCAGAGTTTGAGCCTCTCCTCATTTGCACGTGGCTGTGGCACAAACATGCCCCAGCAACTTCTTTTTCCTGCTGTATCCTCATGAAATTGACTTCATCATCTGGCCCCAGCCTATACCTGAGACAACTTTCAGTCATCTTTAGCTGTACCAATGTTGAAGCAGTGTTTCCTCCCTTATCCCGACACAGGTTTTGCTCTGGATACAATCTGACATGCTTTACTGATTGTTCAGGTGGTGCAGTCAGTTGACTTTTGGAGGTGGGATCAGCCCAACTTCTCTTACTAGTGCAGGTATGCTCCTTCCCTTCAGCACACTCATGGCATGAAGCTGCATGGTGAAGTGGAAGAGAGGGAGATGACTGTATCTCTGCTGCTTCCTGGGCCAACTCTCCCACACCTTTAAATATAGTTTGGGCTGCTTCTGGACATGGGCCTAATGCCCTTCTGGAATATCAGAAGGACCCTGACTGTAGTTAATAGCCTTCCATTGAATGTGTCCATGCAAAACACTTGTATTAAAACAGAGCAAGTTTTGATAAATGGCTAAATCTGCTGGTCTAGTCATCAAAACTCATGTCCTCCCCAACTCCATTCAATGTTAAGAAGAATGATTAATGGAAGTTTTCCTGTTGCCTGGGGATATTTGCTGGAAAAGGACGGAAACAATGCCAAGGGTATCCACCAGTTTTTTCCTTAATCTGTTCTGTATGGTTTAGGTAAGGACATCATTTGCTGACATCTTGCCTGTGGCAAGATAGAAGCTGACATGGAGTTAGCACATATTTCACTGGTATATTTTTATGCTATCTCAAGGACTGATGGAAAATACTTGGCCATGAAGAAGACCCAAACTCAACATACTTAAACTATCGGAAGATAGATTTCAGTTGAAGATTAGGAGAAATCTTTAGTGATAAGCGCATTAGATCCAGCAATGTAGTATGGTACTCTCTTCTAGAAGCTTTCCACATGAAGCTAAGTACAGTAGTCATCTGTGGGATTTTGCAAGATTGTGATTGGCATGTAATATATATGCCATTCTTTTTATACTAGGCTCCCAGCTTTCTTGCTTGCCTGTTTATTATTTATTTATTTTTTGTTCAATAGATTAATCTCAACCTGTGATCTGATAACCAAGCACAGATTTATCAATTCAGTATGAGCTAGGCCTCAGAGCTCCTTTCATAGAGGATCTGAATGTGCTAGGAAAAATTTTTTTAGAAAGGCTTCCAATTAAGTTCTTTTTTTCCCCCACAATTCAGGTTTAGAACAGAGTCTACTGGATATGTGTGTTGGGTAAGTAACTCCCAGTAAGTAACTCCCAGTAAGTAACTAGGAATTTTCATAGATAGTTAGGTTAACATGGGCTTTAAATGTCAAAATGAGACTTTGAATTGTGTGGAAAAAAATGCTGTGCTCAGTCATATGAGAGTCTGCAGTCTTCTGTCTTTCGAATTCAATTCTGTATGAAGAGACAAGCCAGGCTCCAGTTTCCAAGTGACAAACAAATGTACTATCTGCATTCAGAGATATTTTTCATATTTGCTTGCTCAGACCAGGGTGGACAAACTCTGGCCCTCTAAATATTATAATGCTGTAGTTGCCAGCATTCATTACTAGTGACCATATTGCTAGAACTTAAAAGACATGGAATTCAACATCTGAAAAATTATATATTTCCCATCCCTGTGTTTATATAGAACTGGGCATCAAAGAGGAGCTGCTGCTAAAAGGGAAATAGTTATGGGGGAAAGGGAAGAGGCAGAAAAAGTGTCTGTAAGAACATTTTTTATATGGCCCTGATTCACTCCCAGTAAGTAACTGGAAAAACACCATCTGAAATGGAATTGCTGCTCAACTCTGTCCAAATATACTGCCAAGATATTGCAATGCAGTTTGGACTGGACAAACGTGCCACCCTTACCATCAGCAGGGGAAAAATAGTGAAAATTGAAGGAATCAAGATGGCCTATGGAAATAACATCAAGAGTCTGGATAAAGAAGATCGCTACAAATACCTGGGCATCCTTCAGGCTGACAACATCAAGCATACTGAAGTCAAGAAGACTGAAGGAGATCTTAAAGTCCAAACTCAGCAGTGGAAATACCATCAAGGCGATTAACACCTGTGCAATTCCAGTCATTAGATGTACAGCTGGAATAGTGGACTGGACTCAAGCTGAACTAAAAGGCCTGGATAGGAAGACCAGAAAAATAATGACAATGAATCATGCCCTTCATCCACACAGCCACTTTGACAGACTCTACTTACCAAGGAGCATAGGAGGGCGTGGAATGTTGCAAGTACCCCAGACAGTTGAAGAAGAAAAAAGGGCATTGGAAGAATATCTGCAGGACAGTGAAGAAGATGCACTGAAGCTGGTACACCATGAAGGCTTACTGAATACCAAAGAGACCAAACTGGCCTATAAGAAAGACCAGATGAAAAATAGAAATGAGACATGGCAAGGCAAAGTATTACATGGCCAATATACAAAAGAAATAACTAGCAGGCAAAGCAGATAACAAGACCGGGCAATGGCTAAGAGCAGGAAAGTTGAAGAAAGAGACAGAGGAGCTAATTTTGGCTGCACAAGACTAAGCCTTAAGAACAAATGCATACAAAGCAAGAATTGAGAAGACAGCAAATGCCACCTCTGCAAAGAAGCTGAAGAAACAGTGGACCACCTAGTTAGCCGCTGCAAGAGGATCGCATAGACTGATTACAAACAATGGCATGACAAATTAGCAATAATGGTTCGTTGGAATATCTGCAAGAAACACTATTTGCCTGCAAGCAAGAACTGGTGGGACCACAAAACAGACAAAGTAATAGAAAATGAAGAAGCTAAAGCTAAAGACAAGCACTGGCCACACAACACCCCAGGCTTAACAATTGTTGATAAGAAAGACAAAAAAGTCTGGATAGCGGACATTGCAATACCTGG